TCTCTTGGGGCACTAATATAAACATAAGTATAATAACTAAGTATCATAGTTATTTGTGAAAATATGCCACTATACTGTAAGCTTCTTGAGAGAATAGACCGTGTCTTATATTTGGCATTGTACATTTATACAGCAGCTACACAAAAAGTAGCTGAATTGGTAGGGTGGGATTGTATCCTGGAGAGCCTTAGAAGCTAGCAAAGAGTACTTATATTTGGTACAATAGGAAATAGGTTGTTTTTTAGTCTCAATATTTTTTCTCAACTGATAAAAGATGGAAATGTGGATTTGCCCAAATCATTGTGGTGTAAGGTTGAGTGTTAAAGAAAACCTAGAGTCTGCAAGGTAAGCTATTGTAATGATTTTGGTTTGAGATGGTGAGGACGGGATCAGAGAAGGGACAGACATGAGAAATATATTTTGGAAATACAAATAGAATTTGATGACTGACTTGGAGGGAATGAAACCGATATTAGAAAACATTTTTAATTAATAAGATAAATACATGGTTTTCCTTTTCTATAAAACATAATTTCACAGAGTACAATCTACCTAATATTTAATTTTTGCTTTATTATAAACATCAAATATGTATTATGTATCTGGCTCTACATTGGGGTTCTGACAGTGGAGAACTCACTAGTGTCAAAAAATGGATACAGGTATGAAAATATTTATAATATGGTGTGAGTTTTTTGATGACAGAGGTATTGACACCATGCTGCACGTGCACCCATGCAGCCTGTTGAGACGTAGATAGAGCTAAGTGAGTTAAATATCAGGAACTTGCGGGGAGGTAGCTAAGCTCCCAGCAAAAAACCAGGTCCCTTTGGTAGAGTTGCAAGAGATAAGAAAATAATAGAAGGCCGGGCGCAGTGGCCTGTAATCCTAGCTCTCTGGGAGGCCAAGACGGGCAGATTGTTTGAGCTCAGGAGTTCGAAACCAGCCTAAGCAAGAGCGAGACCCCGTCTCCACTAAAAAAAAATAGAAAGAAATTAATCGGACAATTAAAAATACATAGAAAAAATTAGCCAGGCATGGTGGCGCATGCCTGTAGTCCCAGCTACCCGGGACGCTGAGGCAGGAGGATCGTTTGAGCCCAGGAGTTTGAGGTTTCTGTGAGCTAGGCTGACGCCAAGGCACTCTAGCCTGAGTGACACA